CCCCAAACCCCCTCCCTCACGCGCACCCAACCCCCTCCAGTTGACCGTGTCCACCGTGGCGTACGTTGAGGTGCTCACACCCACGCAGCAGCTGCAGAACCACCTCCTCACTGGGGTGGGTCCCCAGGCCCCTCGAGGGCCGGAGGCGGCGCCGGGCCGGCTTTGATTCATGTTGAGGCGTTCCGACAGCCGTTGGTCGTGTCTATGCCAGCTGTGGTGCATGCAGATGCCGCAGAGGCGCCCCTCCGCCCTTGGCCCTGCACATCTGCTCGTTATCATGGCACACTGGTCTGGGCGGTCAGCGAGCGGGCTGCGATGCACCATCGGGTGTCCTGGCCATAACTCCTCAGCACCCTAGCTCACCTCTCCTTACCCCACGGCTCTGGCCACCTCCACATCCCGAATTCCGCAGGGCAAGTACGTGTCCCTTGGCATGCTGCGCACCGGCCGCGACTGGATCACCGCCTCTGCCCTCCTGGCCGTGCTCGCCGCGCTGCTGGGCGGCAACAGCGCCTACAAGAGCGTCACCACCGCGCGCACCAACGTGCGGCGGAAGAAGGCGCTCGCCTCCCTGGAGAAGGACGAGTGAAGGGCCCTGGGCCCTGACTCAGCCGCGGGCGGCTGCTGAGCTGGCGGCGCCGGGCAGGGCCGGTCGGCCGACGCCTCGGCCAGGCGGGCCGCTCGCCTGGGCGCCAGGCAGCCGCAATGTCAACGTGCGCTTGGCGGCGCCAGCTGCTGCACGCTCATATGGGTCTGCTAGCTGCAGCTGCGGCGCCAGCGCCCGCAGCGGTGGCGCGTCCGTTGCTGTCGCGCGGACGGCCACGCAGCTTCTGACCTTGTGTGCAGCTCTTTTGAACGTGCCTGCTGCACTCGCTGAGTCGGCTCCGGCCGCGTGTTTCTATTTAGACCTCATGGGCTTCCCGTCTTTCCTAGCACGCATGTAATGAAATTAAATGTTTTGAGGCGGCTGCAGCAGCATTGCGTATACATGCAGGTGCGGCAGCGTAGAAGCGAAGAAGGGCTGCTGCCTTCATGAACGGCGAGGTGGCTGTGTGACTTTCGGTTCCGACTAGCCTAGACACATTCAACAAGCATCCGTGATGGCAGGGTGAGGCCGCAGACGCCTAGGAAACCTGACGGCCTGAGTAGGGTGTATCCTGCAAACTGCTGGCGAGCAGCTCTGCGCGGTTGTTGTCATGCCATGGTGCTCATCCCCAGGCACGAGATTGGGATACACCACCACCTTGCAAGGAGTGGGCAAGCTGCCAACCACCCATAAGTAGGAAGCCATGGGCGTTACATGGGGCCGAAATGCACAGGCTGTGTTGCCAACGAAGTATTGAGGCGAGCTGCCCGCCACTCACTGCCCAGCCAACCGCTGGTCAGCCCCCTCTTGCCCATCCGCCCGCTGTCGCTGCGCCTCGCGCGCCGCCTCACACTGCTGCCTGTGGCCGCCCTTCCACGCGGCCTTGTAGCAGGCGTCAGAGCAGTAACGCGCCGCCCTGCAGCCCCTGCACAGCCGCAGCCGCACACCATCCTCTGCAGTCTTGCCGCACTCGGCGCAGTAGGGCGGCCTCACTGCCTGCTGCTGTTGTTGTTCCTGCTGCTGCTGCTGTTGCTGCTGCCGCTGCTGCTGCTGCCGCCGCTGCTGCTGCTTCTGCTGCTGCTGCTGCTGCTGCTGGGACAGCTATGGAGCGGACTCGCCCGCTGCCGGCCTCGAAGGAGAGCCCTGCGCACCCTCGGGCGTAGGCACGGGTGCACCCTCCACAGCGTTAATGCCGCCGGCTGTGGCCGCAACCACTGGCTCCCGCCGCAGCAGGTGCAACAGGTGGGCCACCCCTCTATCGGCATCGTCTTCCTCTTGGTTCAAAGCCATGGTCCCAGCATCCGCAGCGGCGGCCGCAACTGCGGCGCTGCGCTCGAGCCGCCGCTGCAGCGCGTCGGCGAGGCCCGGCGCCGCAGCCTGCGCCGCTGCCAGTGCCGCGGCGCCATCGCGGCCTGGCTGCAAGATCAGCGAACATAGCGTCATGGCCAGCGGCCAGGGCGGCATGTCCGTATCGCAGGTGTCGCAGATGCGAAGCAGCCCTTTTGCCAAGCCCGGGACCATGCCTGCAGCCCGATTGATGGACGCGATCAACGCGGGCCGCTGCAAGCCTACAGCAGCCGCCGCCATCTCGAAAAGCGTGCAGGCGATCAAAAAACCGCTTTCAAGCCGGTTAAGCGGGTCGCCTTCCGCTTCAACACTATGCAGTAACATCCCCCCAAAAGCCTCCAGCGTGCCCGGCGCGGCAACCGCCAGCTGCAGGAGCGTCCCTGCCGCCGTTTTATCTTTCTTCACACACATGCCAATGAGATCGCACGCTGCAAGCTGGGCAATGGCTTCCGCACCGGTACCAGCCCTCGCTGCCTCGCGCCGCAGCAGTGCCACGGCAGAAGGCAAAAGTGGGAGACAGTGCCTGACAGTGCCGTCGCCATGATTCATCAGCTGCACGAGCGCGGCGGCTATGCTGGCGGGGCTGTGTTCGATCTCCTGTGTCATGACACCATCGGGCAGCTCAGCTCGCAGCTGCAGAAGCAGCTCGGCGCACAGCCTGGCGACACAATCTGGCGCGGGGTCGCCTCTTATGGTCTGGGTGGCAGCCAACAGGCCCAGGACGGCGCGAATGAGCCCCGGCTGCGCCGCAATGGCAGGCGGCCCGGCCTCGCAGAACGATGCAATGTCGATCAGAAACTGCAGGGTGTGCAGCACTCCGCGCGGGACGGACAGCAGCCGCGCGGCTCCCGCAATTACGCCTTGCGCCGACGTGCACCGGGTGGCCACGCGCTGCCGGGTCGCGCCGTGGGAGCCGAGGTCAAGCGACAGGGCCCTCATGACCCGATCCACTGCCATAAGGGCGGCTGTGGCGGCCGCTTCGTCCGCCGTCTCCGCCACCACAGCCAGAAATGCGCCGATCAGGTCGCCAGGGGCGGAAACGAGCGCGGCCGCCAGGTCAGCGTCGCCGCAAGCGCCGGAGAGCAGCTCCATGGCTAGCAAAATGACTCGCGCTTTGCAGGGCCGTAAGTTGAGGCAGTGCACGACCCATGTGCTGAAACACTGAAGTGTTAAGACCTGCGCATGGGGGAAGGAAGTCACGGAAGGGCTTGAGGCTGCAGGTCGCGTGGCTTAGAGTCGTGCAGGGCAGCTTCAGCCGCAGGCGAGCGCAGCCAGGCCGCCGTCATGACAGGGGCTGGACTGCATGTCTGCGCCACCTCGGCCCCCTGCTGCAAAGTAATACAGAGGGACGCACGCGCGCTTTGAAAGGCTTCCGCAAGTTCCAACCTGCTGGTGACGAGCTGAGTTCTGCGTGTCAACCAGATCCACCAGGAATTCCAGCACAAACTCAAAACGGTGGTTGGGCACGCGCTGCGCCAGCATCCTCTCGAGCGCCTGCTGCAGTTCGTCCAGCGTGCCCGCCGGCAGCGGCGCCTCGGGTGCGGCGGCGACGGCACGCAGCAGGCCAGACCTTGCCCGCTTCTCTGCCGCTGCGCCGCCGGCCCTGCTGCTGTTGTGGCTGTGGCAGATGCGGTCAAGCAGGAAGCGCAGTGAACGAGCGACTGCGTCGTCGCCGGCGGCGCCTCCCTCAGAACTGCTGCTCATGCTGAGATGCGCGTCGAGTGAAACTATATACTGTCGACAAAAGATATCTGTGTCCAACCCGCTACGCACGAGCGGGGGACGGACGCTTCATTGGAGCATTGATGATCTCGTGCGCAGGCACGGCTTACGAGGATGCCTGCAAAGACCTCTTTGGTCCAGGTAAATTGATCGCTTGAGAGCTTCGCACGCCCAGGTACGGTGCCCTGGGGTGCGTCCTGTGCCGGCTGACATCAGCATGTCCATGAGCATCTACATGCTGCCCCGGGAGCAACCAGGGACAGCCCCTGGAGCGGCTTCACATTGCCCTCGAACTACATGCGTGACAGCGACGGACTGCCTATCACAGCAACAACCCGGCTGAGCCCCTCGTAGGCCGCCCCAGGCACCAGCAATGCCATCAGGTTTCACGGGAAACGCAGCCGCGAGAGTGGGGTCGACAACGCCCATCCAATGTTTCAATTGCCGCACAGCCGCCCAGCTGCAGCTTTCAGGGCGCCACGTTGAGGCGATGTGTGACCTCAGTGTTGAAGCAGGGGAGTGGGAGAATGTGCGAGGGGCGTAGAGCGGAGTGGCAAGAGCAAGCAAAGCCGCATGACGGGCGGACAGCGCAGTTGCGAAGCCGCCCCGTTGCTCTGCATAACACTCCGAGACGTGCACCACCCGAATGCACTAGCACATGCACGTGCACTTGCAGTTGAGCAAACGAAGGGGTTTGATATTTCGTGCACGTGCCTACTGGCACAGCTGCCGGCTGACCGCTGTGTTCAGCACGTGCAGCCAAGCCTGATATAGGGGAGCGGAGTCGACCCGCACACGAAGCGAGTCTTATGGGTTGTGCTGTCTGCTTGGGCACTGCTGCTGCTGAGCTGCGCGTCATGTCAGCAACACCGTGCTGCTCATCCCCAGGGCTGACAAGATCTTTGAATGCTCCACCACCTTGCCGCCCTTTCCGGGAGGGGGCGAGCCACCAACCACCCACAAGCAGCAAGCGATGGGCGTTACATCGGGCCGACACGCACAGGCTCTATTGCTAACAGTGTAACAGATGTGTTGAGGCGGGCCGCCCGCCACTCACTGCCCGGCCACCCGCTGGTCAGGCCCCTCTCGCCCGTCTACTGACAGCTGTTGCGCCTCGCGCGCCGCCTCACACTGCTGCCTGTGGCCGCCCTTCCACGCGGCCTTGTAGCAGGCGTCGGAGCAGTAGCGCGCCGCCCTGCAGCCCCTGCACAGCCGCAGCCGCACACCGTCGGCCTCAGCGGTCTTGCCACACTCCGCGCAGCAGGGCGGCGCCGCTGCCTGCTGCTGCTGCTGCTGCTGCGGCGGCGGCGCCTGTCCAGTGGACTTCCCTGCTGCCGGCCTCGAAGGAGAGCCCTGCGCACCCTCGGGCGCAGGAACGGCCGCACCCTCTTCCACGTCAACGCCGCCGCCTTCAGCCGCGCCTGCTGGTTCCCGCCGCAACAGCTGCAATAGGTGTGCAACCCCTCTCTCGGGATCTTGGTCCAAAGACATGGTCCCAGCATCGGCAGTGGCGTCCGCCGCCGTGGCGCTGCGCTCGAGCCGCCGCTCCAGCGCGTCGGAAAGGCCCGGCGCCGCAGCCCGCGTCGCCGCCAGCGCTGCGGCGCCGTCGCCGCCTGGCTGGCAGATCAGCGAACATAGCGTCATGGCCAGCGGCCACGGGGCCATGTCCATGGGACCGTTGCTCCCTGGGCGGCTGTCGCAAACGCGAAGCAGCGCCTTTGCCAAGGCTGGCACCATGCCTGCAGCCCTGCCAATGCGTGCGACCAACGCGGGCTGCTGCATTGCCGCAGCGGCCGCCACCATCTTGAAAAGGGTGCATGCGGCCAACGGGCCGGCTCCATCCCCGTTCCCGTCTGGATCAAAACCGTGGAGCAAGGTTCGTCCAAAAGCCTCCAGTGTGCCTGGCGCGGAAACCGCCAGCTGCAAAAGTGTCCGGGCTGCCGTTGCATCTTTCTGCACACACACACCTATGATATCGCATGCAAGATAGTGCGCAGCCGATATGACAACGGCCCCCACCGCCTCGCGCCGCAGAAGCGAGACGGCAGCAGGCAAGATTGGGAGACGCCACAAGTCATCGCGCATGCATGTGTTTGTGGTTTCATATATGAAGTCGTGCAGCAAGCATGCGGCACAAAGCCTGACCTTGCTCTTTTCATGATTCAACAGCCGCACGAGCGCCGCAACCGTGCCAACGGGGGCTTGCTCGATTTCCTTTGTGATGCTAGCGTTGGGCGCTTCGCATCGCAGTGTCAAAAGCAGCACAGCGCACAGGCTGGCGTCGGAATGCGGGGTCGGGTCCGCTCTTGAGGTCTGGGCGGCAGTGGTCAAGATGCCCAGAGCGGTGCAAACGAGCCCCGGCTGCGCTGCAATGGCAGGTGGACCAGCCTTGCACATAAGGGCAGAGCGAATGAAGAAATTGAGGATCTCATCTCGCTTCAGGGTGCTCGGAGCGGCCAGCAGCCGCGCGGCCCCCGCAATCGCGCCCTGCGCAGACGCGCACCGGGCGGCCACATGCTGCCCTGTTGCGCCGTGGGCGCCAGGGTCGAGCGCGAGCGCCGCCATCAGCTGGTTCAACGTGATCAAGGCGATTGTGGAGGCCAAGTCGGCGATTGTGGAGGCCACCTCGTCCACCTCCTCGGCCACCACAGCCAGCAGCGCCCCGACGAGGTCGCCGGGGGGAGAGACGAGCGCCGCCGAGAGGTCCGCGTCGCCGCAAGCCCCGGAGATCACCGTCACAACCAGCTCCACAACTCGCGGCTTGAAGGGCCGCATGTTGACGCAGTGGGCGACGCATGCGCTGATACACCCAAGTGACAGCAGCTGCATGTGGGGGAGGAGGGAACCATGAAAGGGTTTAAGGCTGTAGCACGCGGGGCGTGGAGTCGTGCAGGGCAGCCGCAGCCGCAGGCGAGCACAGAGACATCGTCGCCACGACAGGGGTGGGAGTGCATGCCGGCGCCACCTCAGCCCCCTGCCGCAACTCGACACAGAGGGACCCACGCGCGAATGGATTGCGTCTGCATCATCCCACCTGCTTGTGACGAGCTGAGCACGGCGTGCCAACCAGCTCGGACAGCATCTCCAGCACGAACTCGAAACGGTGGTCGGGCACGCGGCCGGCCACCAGCACCACCTCCAGCCCCCGCCGCAGCTCGTCCAGCTCACTCACCGGCAGCAGCGCCTCGGGCACGGCGGCGACGGCGCGCCGCACGCTAGACAGTGCGCGCTTGTCGGCCGCAGCGCCACCCACGCTGCTGCTGTTGCGCCTGACGCGGTCAAGCACGAGACGCAGAGAACGAGCGACCGCCGCTCCATCGCCTGCAGCGCCGCCCTCAGGGTTGCTGGTCATGCTGAGATGCACGTCGAATGGGCTCAGGAACTGTCGTTGGAAGGGAGCTTGCTCCGCGCGAGCAGGGGACGGACGCTTCTCAGCTGCCGAGCGTTGATGATCTCGTGCGCGCGCACAGCTCACGAGGATGCCTGTACAAAGGTCTGCTGATGCAGACTAATTGATCAATTGACAGCCGCGCACGCTATCATATTCTGGGGTGCGTCCATGAAACGTGTCCCAGCTGACATCAGCAAGTACCGTAGGTGTCATGCAGCCCCCTAGCATCTTCCATTGGCTCCAGACTGCCTGCAGCATCTTTGATTGCTCAGCAACCACCCAGCAACTTCTTCAGCAACCACCCAGCAACTGGTGCCTTCTTGGCATCAACTGCACCACGCGGTGCAGTGCCAGGCGGCTGCGCACCCTTTGTTGACTGTGAGGGAAAAGCACGAACCTCAACCTGGCCATGGCCGACACCGCCACTCAGTACAGTCATGGGGCACAGCATTTGTGCGGCTCGTCCGCCACCACAGCCAACAGCACGGCGATCAGGTTCGCTGGGATGGAGACAAGCGCGGCTGCGAGAGCGACGTCCACACAATGGTTAAACTGCTGCACAGCCGCCTGCGCCAGCTGCGGCCTGAGGGGCACCATGTTGATGCTATGGGTGGCCCCGGCGGTCGCGCACGATGCGATCGAGGAAGCTGCGCAGTGCGCATGTGCTGGCATCGCTCCTGCTGCCATGATCGCCGCCGCCGCTGCAACTGCGTGCATGCGTGTCTCAATCACATCTGCTTCTGTCATGCAGAGAGGTAGAGCAATGCCGAGAGGGAATGACATTGAGTCACTCCAGTGACGCAAAAGTGGGTACGTGAAGTATTGTGGCCTTGAGCGAGGAGCCAAGTTGTTATAATAATTCTTCCCTTGAATGCATAAGAAGTAGAAGAGGCTGCTTCAGGTCGCATTGAAATGCCAGCCAAGGCACCGCAAGGGCGAGTGCGCTGAGATAGCCGCGCGGGAGAACACTACGACAGACTGGATAGCGGATGACTGACGTGCCAGTGGTGGCGGCATGCCTACCGATCCAGCAGTGAGTGCAGTAGAGCAGCACTGATGCGCCGTGTGCAGTTGCGCACCGGCTGTGGCTGCACGAATATGCGCAGCATGCAACGTGCTGCAACTGCATACCACCCACCCAGCCCACGCCTGCTCACAGCGCCGGCACAACTCGCACGCGACCACCCCGGCAGGCCGCTGCTCGCCAGCACAGGCGGTGAGGGCGGCAGCGCATCGGCGCCGATGCCGCTGCTGTCGACCGCGGCGCAGCCTGCAGCCGACCTCGGACCCCTGGCGTCGTTGAGCCAGCTGTCAGGACTGCCGGCTGGCCTACCATTGACAATCCCACAGCTTCACGGGCTGCAGCAGCTGCAAACGTTGCAGCAGCTGCAAGCTCTGCAGCAGGGGCTCCAGCAGCAGCAGGACCAACAGCAAAAGGAGGAGCAGGAGCAGCAGCAACAACCACAGCAGGAGCAAGTACAGCAGCAGCAGCAACAGACACAGCAGC